TCATGCATATTTTCTCTTTTTTTGTCATTTTTCTCCTTTACCAGGTGCTTTGTAGTCTTTTGAGCTTAATTGCAGGATTTTCCGAAGACTATTTGTTATTGGAGGCTTAGAAGGATGCGGGACTCATGGAGGCATGTGATTTGCTTGCAGACTTGAAGTGGTGCGATTGGGCTAGGTGCTTGCGTAAAAGAAGAAATCAATTTGGATCTAATTCATGGGCAAAGATGATGATGAGGCGGTGCAGAATCGAGCTGCAAGAAAATTTGAGGAGTATTGTGTCAACCATTAGAAGGCTTTGGAATGGAATATAGGTCTTAAAGAGTTATGATTATGGGCTGGAGTTAAAGAAATGAAGATTGGGCTTAAATGCATGTTAAATGGCCCAAGTTTCACATTCAGCGTAATCCACGCGGTTCGCGTGGGTCCATACGCAGTCCGCGTGAATTGTGTTGAGTTGTTTCCAGGTTTTGACTTGTTGACTCTATTTGTGGAATTTTGGTGGGTAGCTTTTGGTCTCTTTTTGAATCCGGAAATTGGCTCTCTTTAGCTGGAGATTGGAGGCTCATTTAGGGGGCACTTGAAGAACATACTCCACTTTTTTCTCTCCAAGAAGCTTTGGGAAGATTTGAAGAATATTTGGAAGATTAGTGTAATTTCCTTTTATCTTGCATCTAATACAATGTTTGGTATCTCTAATCCCTCTTGTTTTTGTTTAATCTTAGCCATGCTTGGCTAGATTTTCATTTGGTTGACTTGGATGTAATTGCTTGAATGTTTTGGTTATTTTGAAGAACTCTATGAACTTGTGTTGAACATCTATGATTATATTTTCTATGAAAACTTCTTTCATGTTTATATATCTCTAGTCATGAATATTGATATATGAATGTTATCTTTGTTGGTTAAATTCTTGGCTAAGTAATGGGTCTTCAATTTAACAAGCAACTATTAGTTTAAATGTTTGTTTTCATTCCATTTAGACTAAGAAAATATTTTCTCCATAGTGGTAATGAAAGCAATAGATTACTCTTTGGATTTGGTGACTCTTAAAACCCAATGCTAATTGATTTTGACAAAATTACATGCTTCATTGGTTTTGTGACTTTGATTTAGGAAATATGCTATGAGCTTCTCTAGTCATTTTAATACAAAAGAAGAGTTGAGGCAAGTTATGCTTATAAATTGCTATAGCCAAATTAGATTATAAACACAAGTATTGCACCTTGGTATTCTCATGATTAATTAACCAAATGTTCAAGTAATGAAAGTCTAAAGTCAACCATCTTTCTCCTATTGATTTTACATCAAACTTTTCTTTTGTTGAATTGTGTTTTTAAAGGTTTATGTAATTCTAGTTTTATTTTAAACATCTTGAAAGATCAAAATCCCCTATTTTATTTTATTTTAGTTTTACAAGTGTTTGTACACCAAGATTATCATAGAAGTAACAAATTGAACCAATCTCCGTGGATACGATCCCTTTACCACTATACACTATTTTAGTGTGTAATATTTAGGTTATTTATTTTGTTGGCCTCGACAACCACCAAAATTTTGGCGCCGTTTCTGGGGATTGGTTTATTTTTAATCAATTTGTTTCTCTATGCCCAGATCTCAGGGTACAGGTGACTTGATTTACAACCCAGAAATCGAAAAAGAATCAAGGCGTTTGACGAAGGAAAAACGAGTTGAACGTGGTCAAACTTCTAACTTCCACGGGGACCCGGAGGTTGAAACCGCTTCATTTAGTGATATAGAACCTGATTCTAGTCCCGACCCTCGTCAAGAAATTCCCAAAACACCACCCCTACAACAAAATCCCCCCATTGTTGAACCAATTACAATGGAGGACGGAGGAGAAGTTCCCGAAAGAACTTTGAGGCAAATGATGGAAACCGATGTTACACAAACTCCAACCGGTATCAATTACCCGGTTTTGGAAGGAGGCTCAGAGTTGAAGTCAAGTTTAGTCCATCACCTACCAACTTTTCATGGATTGGAGAATGAAGACCCTCATAAGCATTTGAAGATGTTCCACATTATTTGCACTAGCATGAAGCCACAAGGGTCAACCGATGACCAAATCAAGCTAAGGGCATTCCCCTATTCATTGGCCGGTAGAGCAAAAGATTGGTTATTCTATCTTCCACCGGGGTCGATCAACTCATGGATAGGTGTCCCATCCTTCAAGTGATGGTTTGTGGAATATGTGCAACAATGGGACATCCTACGGATAGGTGTCCTATCCTTCAAGAAGATGCGAAGCATGTGAATACCACGGGAGAGTTCCAAAACTACCACAACAAACCATCCGGTTACCAAAATGCATATAATTCAAGTTGGAAGCCAAATCCCATCATGAGCTACAACCCAAGACCATTGCCTCAAAATGCATTGGTTAGACCATCCTATCCACCACCACTACCTCATTACCAACATCAACCACCACACTATCAACCCAAACTGCACCCTCCACATCATCATCAACAACCTCCTCAATCTCAACCAAGTAGCTCCGGAATGTCTCTTGAAGACATTGTCAAATCTCTAGCAACTAGTACCTAACAATTCCAAAAAGAGACAAGGACTAGTATCTCCAACCTTGAAGCACAAATGGGAGATATAGTTACATCCATAAGCAAGTTGGAATCCCGTGGTAAACTCCCTTCTCAAACCGAAAAGAACCCAAATGTCAATGTGGTGACCTTGAGAAGTGGAAAACAAGCCGGAGAAAGTAGTTCAAAGAAGAAGCCAAGAGAAGAAGAGGAAGAAATAGAGATCATCCCCATTGAGGATGCCATAGCCAAGAATAACACACAAGCCAGAGCCCCAAAGAAGACTACTCCTCTAGTGACACCAATAGCCACTCACCCACCGTTCCCCTCCCGACTTGCAACTTCAAAGAAGAATATGGAGGAGAAAGAGATTTTGGATACCTTCCGGAAGGTGGAAGTAACATCCCTTTACCTGATGCAATCAAGCAAATCCCATAATATGCAAAATTCTTGAAAGAACTTTGTACCAACAAGAGGAAGTTGAAGGGAAATGAGAAAATTTTGATGGATGAAAACGCATCCGCGGTTTTACAAAGGAAACTCCCTCCCAAGTGTAAAGATCCCGGAATGTTCACGGTCCCTTGCAAGATTGGAGATGTCACCTTTAGTAGTGCTATACTTGATCTTGGTGCCTCTATCAATGTCATGCCTTACTCGGTGTATGAATCATTGAATGTCAGACCCTTAAGTGAAACCGGTGTCATAATATCTCTTGCGGATAAATCAAGTGTCTTTCCTAGAGGTGTTTTAGAAGATGTCCTAGTTCAAGTAAACTAATTGGTCTTCCCGGCGGATTTCTATGTGATTGACCTAGATGAACATGTATCCTCCAAATCGGGTATAATCTTACTTGGGCGACCATTCTTGAAGATGGCTAGAACAAAAATTGATGTGTATGCGGGAAGCTTGACAATGGAGTTTGATGGTGAAACAATAAGTTTCAACATTTATGACGCTATAAGATATCCTAGTGATGTTTCCTCTTTGTGTTTTGTTGATATTATTGAGGCAATGACCCAAGAGTTGTTCGAGTTGTGTGATGATGACATATTGGAGATGATCTTGAGCAAGGGGTATGACCGTGCAAAATTAGCCAAGAAATTGAACCTTTATTTGCTAGACCCCGAAATTGAAAGATTAGTCAACAGTCTGGAGATCAAGAAGACCACCCAATTTAGTGTGAAGCAAATTGAATTACCTCAAACTCACACGAGATTGCCACCTTCCCTTGTCCAACCGCCAGAATTAGAATTGAAGGTCCTTCCTCAACATTTGAAGTATGCGTACTTGGGAGACAACGAGACCCTTCCGGTTATCATTTCAACTCACCTAACCAAGTGTGAAGAAGAACAACTCCTCAAGGTGCTGAGGGAACATAAAGAGGCCATGGGTTGGATGATTACGGATATCAAGGGATTGAGCTCCTCAACTTGTATGCACAAGATCCTAATGGAGCATGAATGCAAGCCAAGTAGAGACGTGCAAAGAAGGTTGTATCCGCCAATGATGGAAGTGGTCAAGAAAGAGATTTTGAAGCTCCTAGATGTGGGGATGATTTACCCAATCTCGGATAGCAAGTGGGTGAGCCCGGTGCAATTCGTTCCAAAAAAGACGGGAATCATGGTGGTCGAGAACAACAAAGGTATGATGGTCCCCACCTGTGTGCAAAACGGGTGGAGAGTATGTATTGACTATCACAAACTCAATGCAAGCACAAGAAAATATCATTTCCCATTGCCTTTCATTGACAAAATGTTAGAAAGGTTGGCCGGGAAATCTCATTATTGTTGTCTCGACGTGTATTCCGGTTTTCACCAAATCCCGGTGGCATCGGAGGACCAAGAAAAGACAACATTTACATGTCCATTTGGTA